CGGATGTGCTGAAGGCAGATAGGATCGGCTGGGCGAATGGTAGAGGAGATAGGGTTTGGGTCTGGGATAGGCGGCGGGACCTTAGGGTGGGGTGGGGATGGTGGGAGGAGCTAGGCGCGTGTCGCTGGGTGATGGTGGAGGAAGCTTAGGGTTGGCCTGGGGATGGTGGAGGGAGCGTTTAGGGTGGCTGGGGGATTGGTGGAAGCGAGCTAGGGATGGCGGCTGGGGATGGTGGAGGAGCTAGGGTCGGCTGGGATGGGTGGGAGGCTGGATGGCTGGGATGGGTGGAGGAAGCGTAGGAGTTGGCTGGGGGATGTGGCAGGAGCTAGGGTGGCTGGGATGGTGGAGGAGCTAGGGTGGCTGGGGATGGTGGAGGAGCTAGGGTGGCTGGGGATGGTGGAGGAGCTAGGATGGCTGGGGATGGTGGGAGGCTAGGATGGCTGGGCGAATGGTGGAGGAGATTAGCGGGTGGCTGGGGCTGATGGGTTGGGAGAGGCTAGGGTAGGCTGGGTGATGGTGGAGGAGCTAGGGTGGTCTGGGGGATGGTGAGTCAGCTAGGCGGTGGCTGGAGATGGTGCGAAGTGAGCTAGGATGGCTGGGATGGTGGAGGGATTCTAGGGTGGCGTTGGGGGCGGAGGACGGCTACGGGTGGCGTGGGGGGGATTGCTGGGCAGAGGCAGGGTGGCTGGGATGCGCGGGGGAGCTAGAGGTGTGCTGAGGGGCGGGGGAGCTAGGGGTGGCTAGGGCGGGCGGAGCTAGGGTTGCTAGAGCGGCCGGGAGCTAGGTGGGCTGGAGGCGGAGGAGCTAGGGTGGCTGGGGCGTTGGGTGAGAAAGAGGAGGATGGCTGGGGATGGCGGGAGAGCTAGGGTGGCTGGGGCGGGGGAGCTAGGGTGGCTGGGGCGGAGGAGCTACAGTTGCTAGAGCGGGGGGGAGCTAGGGTGGCTGCGGGCGGGGGAGCTAGCGGTGCGCTGGGGGGTTGCGGAGAGGCAGGGTGGCTGGGGATGGCGGGGGAGCTTAGGGATTGGCTGGGGCGGGTGGAGCTAGGGTGGCTAGGCGGGGAGCTTAGGGTTGCTGAGCGGGGGAGCTAGGCGGTGGCTGGGGCGCGCGGGAGTAGGGTTGCTTGGGGATGGCTGTTGAGTGAACGTGGATGGCGATGTTCACTATATAGACCTTGCTCGTTGGTTTGGGCCGGTTTCGCTCGACAGGGGGCCGGCTGCAGTACATCAAAAGAACTATACGGAACTGGCTATTAGTGCCAGCGGGAGGAGATACTACGGCCCATTACACACCCTCAGCGGCAAATTCTTAAATCATTCACGCGGACACCTACACTTGAAATAAGACCACAAGATCAATCCAAGTAGATGGCAAACGCATTTCGTTTGCCTTTTCGCGCCATCAAACGGAAATAGACCAGTACGGCCAAGACAAACTGCGAACTTTCGCGGGATACACACGCTCAAACTGGCCACGCCACGTACCACGAGATTTCGCCAGCTAAAGTAATTTTTACACTTGTCTGACATGAGTAAGCCTCGAGGGGGGCCGAATCTGTAGGAGACTTTAGAATGCGCTTATTACAGGGTAAGACGGTGTAAGCATGAAGATGACAGAGACAACGGCCAAGAGGTGCTCGGCCCCGCATTGAGAAAACGCAGACATGCCTGGCCCAGCTCCGACATCGTCTTGTACTGGGCCCTCATTCAACATTTCGAACTATTGAAGTCCACCGCTGACGCCAAATATGCAGAGGTCACGCGGAAGTATTTGTACGTTTTCAGCAAATAATCCACCCGAATTCCCGCCCAAAAGCGAGAGCTTTACGGTGCAGTTGAGAACGTGTTGATGTGATCCTGACAGGCAATGAAACACAGTCAGAGTTTTACGCGAAGTAGAATAACATATATTAGGATATAGCATTTATAAGTTCTGCGCATTCGCAAAAACAACGAACAAGCCGCCAATAAATTCCCCATTGCATAGTGTAAACGGCCGCAGCGCGATGCGCTATTTTCTATACTTATTTATATTTGGTGAAGCTTAACATGTCAGAGAGCATGTGAAGTCCCTACGTTGTAAGGCCATGTGAACAAGGCAGACAAAACAGACGCGACATAACACCTGAGAACAGAGATGCAGACACACAACATGGCCGACAGACATACAGAACAGACTGGAGGACGGAACAGCGCGGCACGGGCAGACAGACAGAAAGTGACTGACACGCGATACGGGAGAGATTTGAGAAAATAAATGGAGAGTTAGGATAAGTTTGCGTTTGAAAGATCGACTCGTATAGGAGAACGATTCGATAAAGGCGCGGAAAGGAGGTCAAGCGTCCAAAAGACAAAGGCAGAATTATTGGCCATGCGGCCAGATTGAAACCTTTTAATTTTATCGACAGCGGAGAATTTAGACGAATACACCGGGTAAAGGGTCGGAGATAACAGAAAGGCACGGCCGAAGAAAAATGTCAAAGCGATAAGATGAGGGGATTGATGCCAAGAGTTACTGATTTGGAGAAACAATACAGTAATTGGCGGCAAACAGCGACAGTTCAGCGGCCTGCTATGGATGGCCTGCCGTGATGACACACCTGGCAGGCCTATTCAAACGGACGGGCTGGGCGTTTCACGCACGCTGATATTGATACAGGGAGCTGTGCAAAGCTGACGTGTTGCCGCGTGCACGCTAAATGCGACGGGCTGTTTAGGATTTGCTATACAATATGGCAATGCATGCAATCAGTTGCGCAAAGCTAGTGCCGCGCATTCTGTTGCCGGAGACACCTGCTTAACATTTCCAAGCCGGCCCGGAACTGCAATAATATTGCGGATAATTTTGCTGCCAGTATGGTTGTGAGTTGGTATACTTTCCACCGGTCATTTGAATCAAAGAACATGCACGGAAAAACGAACACGCATGAGTAGGGAAAGGAAAGGGTTAGGCGAGGGGGAGTCAAACGTGGAACGGTCGTTTGGTTCATGTGGGCGAGTGCCGGGTAGTAGGGATTAAAGCAGCAAACAGGGAGGTAACACACCAAGCGAGGTTAAAATGGGAGAAAATAAGCAAAGCGACGAGCGAGCTAGGGCATGTAGAGAGAAGAGGGGCGTGTTGCGACATGACAATAAGAGAAGAGAGTGATGTGAGAAACGAAGAAGGGAGGATGGAAGGAGGAGAGCGTGAGACGGGAGATGCGTATAGAGGGAAGAGAGAGGGAGAGGACGATCGGGAGAGGGAGAGGGAGAGGATGAGGCAGGAGAGGGGAGAGGGAGAGCGTAGAGGAAGAGAGATAGAAACAAAGATATCGAGGGGGAAGAAATGAGGGGGCGAGAGGGGAGAGGACGAGAGAGAAAGGAGAGGAAGAAAGAGAGGGGGAAATGGAGATACAGAAGCAGAGGGAAAGAGGGAGAGGAAG